GAGGATATGGCCCTCTGTGTACACTACTGGGCTTGACAAGCAGCGCAGGTTGCACTGGCTGGAAAGGAATGTTTTATTTTAAGTAAGAAGGCACACCCAGTTTCAACTCTGTGTCACCTTCAGACAGTGTGTAGCTCATCTTAGAAGTTCAGACCACTACTACATAAGTCATATTTATGTTAATTTCAGATGCTTACTATGATTACTCATTGTTTGGCAAACAGTCGTGATTTTTGTGTCCATCACAACTGGATTTCTGATATTAAAAAATATTTCTATCTTCAAGAAAGAACTTCCTGGCATACAAATTAAATACAACTGCTTCTCTATTTGGCACCCATACTTTTGACAGCCGTCTTCCCACTGTGGCAGATAAATTCTCAAGGCCTAGAGCCTAAACTTGGAACACCACAAAGATACTGCCTATATCCCTTAGACTGAGGAATTTCAAGTCTCCTTCAGATGGGAGGTAAGCACTGGTGCCTAGTACAGGGGCAAGATACTGTCCATCATAGTTAACCTGGAGTACCTGACTGCAGGCTTGCCTAACTACCCTCTCTGCCTCCATGTAATCTGTAGAATAAAATCTCCCCCAAGTCCCGCAGAAGTCCTGAACAGTAAGTCAGCCGCTTCCTAGCTCTGCTTGAGCTCCTGCTGTTGAGCTGGCTGTGCCTGGTCCGAGAGAGGCAGCGTCGCACTGGGATCCTGCAGGCGTTCATCATACAACTGTTTGCCAAAGAAGTGTGTGGGGGATAATGCTTATAAACTTAAAAATAAAACCCAGCGGGATATCCTGCCACCTAAGCTCAGGCATTAGTTCTAACAAGACATGAGCAGCAGTGCCATTGCCATCTGTCAGCATGCCCTGTTAATTAGTCAGAGGATTGCTATCAAACATGCAGGCCCTGCACAGGCCAGCCTTCATCAGGAGATGCATGTTTATTTGTCTAATATCAGTGTCTGTTCCTTTCAAGATGTAACCTGACTAGGTACCTAAACGACGTATGGCCAGAATGTATGAGTCTTGTGCAGGTCTTGCCTCTCATAATGATACATTAAAAACATAGCATCTTCCTGATTCTGCAGTTCAAAAACCCTGTTCAACCAAGCAGGAAGAAATAAAGTAACTAGCTAACTGAACTTTTGGTTTTAAAAAGCTTTTAGTGGTTCAGGAGCTAAGGATAATAATATTTAAGCACTTTAAATGCTTCTTAATGAAGTGCTTTAAAATGGATAGCTGGGTTTACTATTTGAATTGTCTTCACAGCAAAGTTACTCAATTTACTTGTCTCTTCCCCAAAAAACACATGCAATGAAAGGTTAAATCCTACTCCATTATTTGTCATTTTTGCAACTTCCTTAGTAATAACTGTTCTTTTGTTGCTATTAATACTTTTACAGATAGTGTATAAGCCAGGGTAAAATCCATTTCACTCTCCAAGTTGTCTTGACTTGGCAAAGAAATAAACAGCAATTAAATGAAGCACCTAGCATCTTGTTGACAACAAATGAAACAGTAGGTGTGGAAAACACAGGGACGTTTGGCTGCCACATATTGTAATGAACAGAGCATTAACATTCTTGGGATTGTCCAAATGTGAACCAAGTACAAATGCTGTCTGGGAAAGGGATCCTCTACATGGAGGAAAACAAAATGATGTACTTTCTTCAACCTGTCTGCTAACTTTTTAGTACACAGAATTTGTGCCTTACACAAGGGTGAATCTTGCCCAGATTGTGTGTTTCCCAATGTGTTTTTGCAGATACTGGTTATTTTCACTGTCCTCTATGCAGACTTCTAGCCATGAATTTTCTGGCAGCCTGATTACAATAAAGAGTTTAAGCCTGCAAATAACCACAAACTAGCTGAGTGTCCCCATTCCCTGTGCAGGAGACGCAAAAAGCAATGTTTTCCAGAAGGTAAAATAAGAGTTCCTTACAGACCTTGAGAAGGAAATGGGAGGTATGCGCTTGCAGCAGATGAGTCTATTCTGAAAACAGACTCCTCTATCCACAAGAAACCTTTCATCAAGGAGACGGAAGGGCACTTCCAGGCACACTGGAGGTGACACAGATGCCTCAGTCTGTCAGTGCCTTGTCCTCTTAGGCCCCAGGGCTGTTTTTGCGTTAAGGTTTCATACATAGGTTAGTGGCTGGTCCTGAAATGCAGGGAGACATCTCTGCCACTTTTTCCTCTTTGCACAGAGTTCAAGATCATTGCAATTTTGCACTCGTGGTTTGATGGGAGCTTCTTTGATATCTGGGCTGAAACTTGATCAAAGGTCCACTGAAATAAACACACCACTTCAACTGATCTTCATGGGCCTGGGAATCAGGCAGTTGATATTTCTGAAAAACTGCCCAGAAGTAGAGCTGTAAAGAAGTATTTGAGTGATGTCATGAAACTTGTTCGGCACACAGGAAGGGCAGGGAATTCTGGAAAGAAGCTGCAGCTTTACAGAAAAAATGAAGACAAGGGCAAGGCAAAGATACGTTTAGGAAGGATGCTTGGACTAAGTGTCCAAGAAAGAAGTTGGAAGAAAGCATCACAGACCTGTGCAGGGATATAGAGATGAAAGGCCCAAAATGAGATGCAAGTATTCAAACTGAAGGCAAAAAACAAGAGGAAATAATTGGCAAGGTTCAAATGAAAAAGGGCATGGATAGAATGGAAGGAGAGATGGCTTTGAATACCAGTAGTAAAGAAAATCATACAACGTGAAGAAAAAGCAAAGTAGGAAAAACAGTGGCAGCCCACAAAAAAAAACCAAAACAAAACGGGCTAAGAGCAGAAAGCAACCTGTGGATACCAGAGCACTGTGTGCCTTGTTTATGTCTCTGTGTGTAAATGTGTGTAAAGGAACGTGACTATTTGGTAGTTAAAGGACTACTTTTAACCTGAAATAAATGAATGAGTTTGCTATGTGTGCATGTCCTCTCCAGTGAGCAGTTCATCTCCTATGTATTGTGCCTGCTGCTAGTGCTTTCTCAGTGAAGAGACTATACACTGCACACCCAAGTTTTGGGTTTCTGTTGTAATTGGTATCTTAAGGCTGAAAAATTTCTGCAATAAGAGTAATTTAATGTGGCATGTTTTTTCAAGTTATCTGGCAAAAGGCACTTTTGAAGATGTTTGCACAAGCTTCCTGTCATTTTACCTATCTATTACAAACTGATAAAAACTAGGGATTTAAAATTAACAGTATTAGGCTGTGTGCTTTCTCAGTTGAACTAGTGTAATCTGGATTGATCAGTTCATTTCTCTATTGTCAAGTCAGTTTGCCTTCGCTTGCTGACTCAGATAAGAACTGAACTTCAAATAAATGATTAGAACTTCATGTTCTATTTAAACACTGGCTTTTGTTGTGCTGGTATGTCATTGCCTGACCACTCATAATTAGAGGTTGTTGAGAGACTTTTAAATGCTGTTATATCAAACCAAATTTTTTTCTGGTCAAAACTAAGAGGAAGAGGTCCAGAACAGTGTATAATTTAGTGGCTGGAGTACTTGAGAGAGGACTTGTATCAGGCAGATCTGAGCCTCCTTCTTGTGTAATGCACAGTCTAGGAGGACTCTGATAAGCTTTGTAATGATACCCAGCAAGGGCACTCAAAAGGACGTACTTTATTTAAGGGTAAGCCTTAAAACAGAGTGGTCTTGTTTGCTTCAGAATTGGTAGTTAAGGCTGCAGGGATATGCTGGTTGGCTATAAATGAGTATTAATGTTCAAAGACATTTGATGCTTTAAAAAAAGGAGGAGGGGGATGGGCAAAGAATAAAAAAGTGGAAGTGAAACTTCTCACTTATTTAAAGAAGGTGTTAAGATTGTGTTTCCCTCAAAAAACCCCAAACGTAAAAACCCCAAACATGCAGTCCTAGTCATCTGTAATGGTTTTAGCATATCAGTGCTCACCAGAATACAGTGGTTCAGTCCTGCTCAAACATAGGTTGCAGTAGTTTGAGTCTTGTGCTTGTGTAAGGTATGCACGTACATCTGAGCATTCTTGTGCATTCTGGATTTCATGCTTTACTTTTTAAGGGCTTAATATGATGAGTATCTGAAGGCATAATCCTCATCTTACCCTTTCAGGCTCTATTATTCCATATCCCGTCTTACTCCATTCATATTATTCCTTTTCCCATCTTCCTTGATCCTGAGCTATCAATGTATAATCTTTGTGTGGCTAACAGGTAACAAGAAAACCTAATGGGTGGATAAACCATTGCATCTGGCACTGTGAACACCTACAGATGAAATAACTTACAAAGCTTATTCATGTTTCACATTTTTGGTGCAGTATGCAAGGGTGCTGTTGGGTTAGGGCAAGGTAGATTTAAAGTTCCCAGAGCATTTCCTGGCTGTGAAGAAGAGCTGTGCAGATAAATTTTTTTGGCACAGTATTGCATGACATGTAAAGAGAGGAACCTAGGGAAGGAGCAGTAGGAATTGTATTGAAGGTCTGAGCACCAGAAGGAACAAGAGCAGAGATTCTTAGAAAGGTTCTTAAAACTGAGCAGTGGTGCCACCAAACCCTATTTTCTGATAGAGTTATATTTTAAGGCTGCATCTATCCCAGTATGGAATGCTGATATTTTGCAATGATTAAGGAGAAGCTTTCATAGGATTTACTGCCTTGCCAGATACTGTTTTTATGAAACCTGCAGAGACTTAATAATACTGTCAAATTTGGTTGTAATTGGAAAATAGCGTCAAAAGATTTCTAGGGGAGAAGAGACTGGCTCACACATGTACCTAAGCTTTAAAACAAATATTTTTTCGCCTGGATTTTAATGTTAAATGCTTTAGTCATTGTGTCTTTTTAATGACAGAGTTTCAGAAAAGAAACAGTCAGTCATTCATCACTGATGTCGATGTAGTTAATTTGTATTCATACAGAACACGTGCCATTAAAGTTCATTCAAATTCAGTGCTTCTCCTTTTTCAGAGTCTCTTCCAACAGCAACAAAAAAACCCTAATTTCCTTAATTTTAGGGATGTAATCCACTTGCTGAGACTGGTCGAAGCAAACTGCAAAACCAAAGAGCTGTCTTAAACCAACAGATCTTAAGAGCAGTAAGAATGAGAGCTGGTGCTGAAAATCTTTTAAGGTATGTGTCATGACTTCCTAGTTCTCTTGGCTGAGCAAAAAAATCATTTTTCTAAAAATTTTTAAAACTCTCTTAGCTATTGCTCTTTCCTAGTCTGCCTGATCACTCTCCTAATATGCTACATAAATTTCTGCTGGATGCTTTGTAAATCTCCCTGAAGTTTTTTTAATGCTGTAGCTCTATAGACTCATTACCTGCTATAAAGTGCACTTTCAAAGCTGCTGTGTTGTAGAAAATGAACTGAATGTTAGACTGTTATTATGGCTCTGTTTGATCAGCTTTATTGTTAGTGATAATGGCAAGTGAACCTCGCTGAATATTGTAATGAGTCCTTTTTACACCTTAAATCAAAGAAAGGTATTGTCACTGTATTGTTGCTGTTCTGAAGATTCTTTAGATTCTTGCTTCACAGTGGAAAGGACCATCAGTTGCAAGACCCAGTTTCTTAGGTGGCTGTCCCCATAGGAACAACGTTATGTTGACGCTGTCTTGAGGCTATTACATCCTGTGATTAACTGCTTAGCAAAGTCCTGTAGCTTTCCAGCAATCCATCCCTCTGTTATACAGAAGAACTGAAAATTTTCCCAGTACTCATCTACAATAGTCTCCTACGTAGTGTCTGTTTTTCTGAAACTGCAGGAACAATGGGTCTCCAAGAACAAAAATCTAGTCAATATACTTTCCTTAGAGTAGTGAAAATGCTTGGATAAATAAACTTTTCTTAAACTTGCCATTAATTGATAGGTTGCACTTTGTCTGTCACCTACCTTTACCTCCACTCTTGTCAAAAGAGGCGATAGGTCCAAAGCTTATGCAGTTCTAGCCTCTGTGACTGACTACGTTTTGCTTTGTTTTCTGGTAGTTGCCTTAAGGAGTAAGACTTAGGGTCTTTTGCTACCTTTTGTATGCTTAGCAAAATTCTTGTATCTGCTTTTTGAGACTGAACACTGTTCATTCAGTAGGTGTTTCTGCCTGCCAACTCAGGATTGTTTTGGAAAGGCTAAAGAGATGAGTAATATCTAACATGAACACTGGTTACTCTTAACATTCAACATAAAGATGTTCTGAAGTTCGGCTCCTGGTAACAATATTAACTGCTGAAATACTGAAGTTGCTGTTGACAAGAGTGGGAACTAAGTCTATTTGAAGAATAGAGGATCAGACTTATTTCTAAGTTGTTGGAAACCTAAAATGCATTTACACCTTTTAGACTATTAACGCTTGCTAGTTCTTTGAAAGAAGCAATTTTAAAAGTGCCCTGACCACTAGATAGTTCACGTGTCTAGACATATTTACAGTATACTAAGGAAAAACATAAATAAATGAGCTTTGTTTTCAGAGTCTATCTGCATTTCAGTAAGTTCTAGACCAAGCAAACTAGTTGCCGGCCACAAGGACCCTCCTGCAGTAGGACTTGCAAAAAATCTGGAAATGCCTGTTTCTTTACTTTTTTTGGCTGAAAGTAAATGCTAGACGTGAAATAAATGATCCATATAGCGCAAAGACTTTTATTTTTAGAACTTCTGAAAGTCACCCTCTGCTTTTCGTTGTTTTTTGTTCTGGAAGTTGTGAGTTAAAACTGAATTGAGAGTAGAGGTATGTGGATCTCAAGGATATCACATTGCTCCTGTTGCTGTCTTTTGCTGTTTGTCATTACAAAGTATGTCTACAGGGCAACAGCATGAAAAGGTGATCAAATTAACTGTAAGTTGGCATGGATGTTGAGAGCAATATAGCCGTATTAGAGAAGTTCACCTAGATGGAGCACTGGGGTTTCTGAGAAGGATACTAGAATCCCTCCGGTGGAGGATGGTAAGCTAGACCAAACACAGAGCCTTAATAACATCGTAATTAAAAAAGCCTTAATAACATCGTAATCAAAGCTTATCCAGTTATCTGTGTGGTGCTGCCTTTATCAAGGAAGATCCACTCCAGATATTTGTGTCCAGTTTGGCTTATGCAGGCAGCAGATGTTAACATTGCTTAATCTAAGCAATCTTGGGTATTAAATAAAGTGCAGCATAGAAAATTCACAGATAACACATATTTATAATATGAAGTACAAGCTTAGACTCTTAGCCTTGGAATAACTAGTTCTTCACCAAGTGCTCCATAAAATTAGGGGATTGTTCCAAGTGGAGGCTGCATGTATGAGAGGGTTGTTCATAAGCATTTATGAAGATTAATTTTATATTAAAACAAGGGTAAATTCAAACTGCTGCAAACTTAAAATAAGTGTGTTATTGTCTACTGATTTGGACTCTTTATTATAGGGATACAGTATCTTAAGCCTGGATATGGATCAAGGCCTTTTATCTTAATCTATAACCACAGGTGTAAGTTTACAGTTTAACTCTTGAAAACAGTAATACTGTATGGAGAATCAGGTTAGAAATAGTGATGTGATATCCTGAAATACACAAATAAGAAATTATACAGAAATGCCCTGGGAAGGTAAATACTAACATCCACTGTGCTAGCAGTTCAAAACATTGTCATATAAATATATAAATGGCAAAGGAAACATTCAAACAAAAAAATCCTATTTGCATCTGACAAAATAAAATTGTAGAGAAAATTGTATTGTATTAAAAAGAAGTATCTTTCTACCTGTATGTTTGGTTGTAAAACATTCTGTAGTAACAGTTTTATGGGGAAGTCGTTTTCTTTTATTCTTAAGATCAGAAGTCTCAACAGATCATTATTCAATTTATAAAGTGACACCCCCCACCTCCACCCTCATATCTTCTTCTTCTAGGAAAAGATCACGTAATCTGAAAACAGGATAGTGATTCTGTTTAAGATGCTTTAGTTCTGTTGAGTAATGTATCTGAAAATAAGCCTGACCCTTAATCACACACACAAAAAATTAGCATATAGCAAACCTTCTGTGTGCAGTTATCTGGAAACTATCCCACGCTTTCTCTTGACAGAAAAAACTAATAAATTCTGAAGCATGAGGTCTTGTATCATCTTAAAAAAAATCTTAAAAACGCTGAGAATGCTAGCAAGGGGGATTAACCAAGCTTGTGTACAAAACCTTTTCCTTAGCAATAAAAAGTTGTATGTGTCTCTCTTTCTGCAGAGCAACCAACAACAACAAAGTACGAGAGCAGGTACTACTGGAATTGAGTTTCGTAAACTCAGACCTGCAGATCTTAAAGGAGGAACTGGAAGGACTTAATATCTCCGTAGAAGTTTATCAAAATACAGAGTAAGCATAAAACTCAGTTACTCAATTATTAACAGATCTTCTTTGTACCCTTGGAAACAAAATTGTTTCTAGGTGAATGTGAATGCTGGACAATAATTACGTGAAAGAACAGAGAGCTTGATAGGAAGACAACATACTTTATGGTAGATTTGTCGGGTAAGGGTTAATCTACTTATTTGTCTTTCACTTGGGAAAGGTATGTACCACTAAACCTTAGGTACGGAGTTCCTTTGTGGAGAAGAGTGTTATGAGAATTGAAAGCTCTTGGGGCTTTATGGGGAGACGTGGCACCTAGCAGAATTTCCAGTACTAGAATGGCTAATTGGCGCAGTGAGCAAACCTAGTGACACAATACCTGTTGTCAAATGCAGTGCGTACAACAGTCCTCTCTTTAGCTGGAGAACAGAAGTACAACACTGATTTGGAGCTCAAAGCAGACTTGAGGTAGTCTTTAAGGTGTGTACTTCAGTGATAGAAATCCATAAATTAGCTGGCTACAACACAGAAATTTTTAGTAGATTAAATTGGAATTGTTCCAAGATATTTTTCCAGCTTTAAAGAGCACACTAAACTTCAAATTGCAATGAATTCCTCAAAGATAAAACTTCAGAGTTAAAGGATTATTCATTGCCTGAATACTGCAATGATTTCTGCATCAGTTAAATGTCTTGTTGCTCCTAAAACTAAATGTTTACTATTTGATTAACATTGGCAGCTCAAGACACAAATTGAAGCGCTTCATATGAGAGGGGTATAATTTTGGGTCCATCTTAGCACTGTTGTCAGTTAAGAGGTTAACTTCCAGGTGGACTACAAGGAATTCTTAATGTAGAGGGAATAAGCACGTTTCTGGTGGGGTATCTTTCAGCTGAGTGCTGATCTGATGCAAAATATCTACATTTCACTTCAGCACAAGTTTCTTTTGGAAAAAGTTTCTGCCCTCCACCCCCATGGCAAACTTTGACAACTATTTGGTGCAGAAATGTATTTTTGTTCAAGATTTTACCGGTCTTCATAGACGCATGCAAGCATAGAAAGCAGTAGGAAAGTTACGGCTGTGGAAATGAGGCCAAGACTTCAGAAGTACTATTCCTTCTTCTAGCTAATGAATATTTGAAATATTTGGATTCTCAATGAAGGGTGTGCAGTAGGTCAGGCCCCAAGGCAGGTAGAAGCCTTGCAGCTGGACAGTAGTATGCTTTTTATTCTCTCCTGATCCTACTTCCTCGATCTGTTTTGAGTGGTGTTTTACCTTTCTGATGCTGTTCATTCTAAGCTCTAAATGCTTTTTATTTCCATCAGCTAAAATAATTCACTCCCTCTGTAAGTGCTCTCCAGCCTTTAATAGCGAAAAGCTATTAATAGTTGCTCTCTGAATCTATTGTGCATATAGTCATCAACATGAGGTCACACCCACGTTATTAGGTTACACTGTATTGTGTTAACACCAATCTGAAGGGTTGGCCTTCCTAGGACTTGCACACATCTCGGCTGGATTGAGAAGCATGACGCTATATCTGCTTAGTTCTGGAAATCCAGGATCACCTCCCAAACTGTTCGGTGCCCCATGATGTTGACTCCATGGGCGTGGCACCTTAGAAACTTTAAAAATAGAAATTCAGTTCCTTTGACTGACAAATGCCGATGTCTACAGGGACTGTGAGTGGTACTAGAATTCATTAAATCAGTATGTTAGGATTTCTTTTGGATGTGTCTCACTTCCTTTTGGGGAAAAACTCTTGATATAATTTATTGTAAAAGTGTTGTGGTTTATTCTAAAAGCCTCATCAGATATCAGATCATTTGCACTGCTGGGAGTGGTGTTTTGGCTCTGTGTCCTGGCAGTATTTTTCAAGCTAGCAAAGCCACTTACTGGACCGTGCCAACCATTTCCAGGACTCTTCCTCTGCTGAGGAAGCTGCACTCCTACTCCACCTTCCCGAGATGGAGTTTTTACCAGTAAGAAAGTGATTTTGCTGGCTTTGCTGATAAGACCATAAATGAATCACACCCGTGGGATTTTGTAGGTGGCAATGGAACACTAAAAATGACTACACAATCAATCAGTTGTTTTCAGAAAAAAGGAAAATACCAGATAAACCTTATAATTGCCCTATACTGATCTGTTAAACCTACTCAACAAACTGTATCTGCAAGCAATTCTGATCTTTCTTTTTTTAATTGGGTAATATGCTTCGTGGAAGAGCAATGTATGTAGCTTTTGAGGGCTAAGTGGTGCTCTTTAATTCATAATAGTCTTATTAGCTAGTGTTGTTTACTAATATGATCTGGGTTGAAGTCCATGATAAAGATGTGTGTTCTTTTGAGGATCAGATTTTTTTAAGTCACAGTTCTCATCCTTATTGCCTTTTGATATTTTAGAGGTTTACTTCTTTAGAGGTTAACACCTAGCATTGTCTAGATAAGTAGTTCTCAGACTTCCTACTCTTATACTAACTTTAACAGTGAAAGGTCTACTTTGAACCTGCTTTTCCCTGTGTTAGACACACATCAATTCTATGTATGAAACCGTTGGTAGCATGTAAAATACTGATGATAACCATTGATAATTACCATAGCTCTTACAATGGCAGATCTCCTAGCAACTGTGGACCTGTTTTCTGTCTGTGTAGCTTGTGCAGGTCTATAAAGGTTGAGCTAAATTGTCCAGCCTTTGAGAGTCTCCTTTTCTTTCCTTCAAGGAAAAATAGGCTCAAATGGGGTGTGTGTGTGTAAAGCACAGGCAAGTAGCTTTCCTCACTCTCTTCTTGAGGAGTCACAGGCCACTAAAGCAGACTTTCCTGGGCATCAGCATACTAACTTTCTGTCATCAAATGAAACAAAAGTAATTATCTTACCAATAGACAAACAGAATCCAATTATTTCTGAACCTTTTTGGTTGGTTTTTTTTCTTTTTTTTTTCCGTAGAGAGACTTTCAGCATTCCCTTGGTACCTCTTGGCCTGAAAGAAACCAAAGAAGTAGACTTTACACTCCCCCTCAAGGTAAATTTCAGAGACTCATTTCAGAATGAATAGTTAACAGAAATAACTGCCATTTCACATTTGTTTAGAAGCAGAAATAATTTATGTACAAATTATTTTTTGGTTTATTTGCCCTAAAACTGAGATCACAATGTGTTTAAAAATTAACCACCAATTATTTTGGTCATTGCTCATATTTAAGTAGGACAAGGAGTCAAAAGATGTTATAAGAAATCCCATTTTGGAGACAGTAGAGTTAAACCAAAGAGAATAAAAATTCCTTCTATAGTTTTTTGGTTCCAGTAAGACTATTGACTGCTATAAGTGTGAAAGGAAGTAGTAATGAAGGTTTTGCTCAGCATGGTGCAGTGATATTCCAACTTGCACTAACCAGGCTAGCTCAGCTGGGAACCAGTGTTGCAGCATTAACACTGCTTGTTTGTTGGCCGTTACAATTTTCTGGCTATTTGAGCCACTTTCTGTATTTTTTTGGAATACTGTGTATTGTGCAATGTAGATTTTATTTCATGGTAAACCATCTTATATCACCGTAGCTTTTGTCTCTGCTTTTATTTCTGTAGATTAGTCTCCATGGTCAGATTATGGTACCACTTTATGCCATTGCAACTTTATTAATTTAAGTGGAATTGCACTAACATAGCTGACAAGAATTTGGCAGTCTTTTTCTATTACCAGTTGTTTTTTTTATGGTCACTTGATTCACTTGTTATTTTAGCTAATGGGGTTCACTTGTCACTTTCAAAACCACTAAGAGTTGTTGTTTTGAGACCTAATGGAGTTGATGTAGTAGGTGTTTGCTTCCTTTACACCAGACTGGAATTTCTTGTCTCAGATATCAAATCATTCATTCTATTGTCTTTTTGTACTCTTATTTTGTAGTCTCATTGCTATATGTAACTATACTATTGACTGGAAGGGAGTAGACAACATGCAAATCACAAATGACTCAATTTTGTACTGTTTGCAACTGCAGGAAAAAAAATGAGTAGTTTAGGTTAATTTTAGATACTCCGATTTTTTACTTTTTTTTTTTTAGGACTTTATTCTGGAACATTATAGTGAAGACAGTTCTGAGTATGAAGACGAAATAGCAGATCTCATGGATCTGAGACAAGTAAGTTCAAGTATGGCATACCGTGAGGTCTTTTAATCTACAGTTGTAAATAATAATGTTTATATGGAATTAGAATATGTCAGTATTACTTACAACTTACCATATTCTTATTGACTTCATTTCTGAGATATGGAACATGAATCTCTATTGTCCAAGAGCTTTACAATCTGAGTAAAGAACAAGTGAAAAAAAGGATGAGGTTACGCAAAGCGGTACAGCTATTGACACAAGTTTGTAAATCTAAGATTTGTCTTACCTACTTTTTTTACATTAAAGCATTTTAAATTTAGCAGGAAGAGTGTTGAAGTGCATGCACCTGGAAGAGATTGTAGTAGAATGGTGGTTATTTCTAACTATTGTGTCTCCTGTGTTATACTAGAAATGTAAACCACCTTTGTAGCTTTTGTTAAATACCTACAGTCTTTATTTAATTAACTCTGAAACTTGCCAAACCAATCCTCTTTGCTTCCTTAAATGTTGTGTACTGCTTTTGTACAGCTGAAAAACTCTATTTGGAATGCATCCGTATGGCCTTAAGCGTGCCGTTCTCAGATTCCACACATTCCTATAATATGCACAAGTCCAAAGGAAGCAGAGCTTTATTCTTAGTGTTTCAGTATTCATCCTGTAACTCAACAGAACAGACTTTATTTTAATCTATTGTATTTTAAGGCCTGCCGCACTCCCAGCCGAGATGAAGCTGGCATTGAGATGTTGATAAGCTATTTCCTTCAACTTGGTTATGTAGAAAACAGATTTTTCCCACCCACCAGGCACATGGGAGTTTTATTTACATGGTAAGTGTGCAGTTCATGTTTGTCTTTTCTCTTTTTTTCCAGAACACTGTTAATCATTAACTGTCTTCTGTTTAATTTGAAGCATGTCAGTGTATTTCCGCCCCACTCCCTGCAGTGTTACCAGTTTCTTTAGTGTTAAGAGTAAACCTGAATACAATACACCCTTTTCTTGCTTAGAGTGAAGCCGTTGGCTAGCTTATGATTTGGGCTACAAGTTAACACAAAGGAAAAAGAGAGAAAATAATCTTTCATTTTGGACAACTGCATATGTTTCCTGGACTCTGAACCTTAGTGCATGAAGCAGATGGGGAATGCATCAGACCTTGTTTCCCCTCCTTCCAGTTGTTAAGAAGAGCATTTAGGCCAGAAAAGAGGAAAAGTGACTTTATTATACTGGAGTGTTTACTACATCTATGATCAAAGTTTGATTCTGAATTTATAATTTTTATTTTTATGATGAATAAAGATGACTACCATGCAGCCAAGAGGAACTGTTAAATTTCTAGTCATAACTGCAAGAAGAAACTTCAAAATACAAGCTGTAGAGGATCTGACCATGCCAACAGTTGAACTTTGGCAACATCCAAGTACAAAAACATAGTAGCACATATGGATACTTCCTCAGTATACTCTCAGCCTCTGTGACATTTTGTAGGCACTTGTGAGTTAGATATGATTATGGAGGCACTGCTGTAAAACCTGCTGAAAACTAAGCCTCAAATTAAGCCACTCTGTCTTGCAGCACCTAGATTGTCTTCACAGTACACAATGGTATTTCTGTTCACCTTCATTTTCAGCGTAGCTGAACAATTATTAAGAATTCCACTGCTGTTTTGGAAAAACAGAATGAAAATATCTGTTGTTTCAATGGACTCTGTTAATCTTAACATTTCTTCTAATATTTGTTTCCCAAGGTATGATTCCTTCACAGGTGTCCCAGTGTGTCAGCAAAATATGTTGCTTGAAAAAGCTAGTATTTTATTCAACATTGGAGCCCTCTACACCCAGATTGGAACAAGATGCAATCGTCAGACCCAGGCTGGACTTGAAAATGCTGTTGATGCTTTCCAGAGAGCTGCAGGTACAAATTTAAAAATACAGGGAAGGTCTTTATGCAAATGTTCTTAATCTCATCCTGACATCCTGCAGATTTCTGTGTTCCCACTGACTTCATTACACAAAAAAGGAGTAATAAGGAAATTCAAGAAGCCTAGTGGAGTGCTGAGATGAAGCTTTAATTCAAAACCTGGAACTGCAGTTTGAACGTGCAGATCAAGACAGTGAATACTGTGGTTAATGATTAATGAACTGTAGTTCAGAGGTCCTAGTAGTAGCCCTAATGTTAACTGCTTCATTGTTCAGTCTTTCTTTCATCGACATAGCTGCTCAGTGATATTACATTGGTGTAAAAATCCGTAGAAGAAACCATTTAAAGGGTTGATAAAGGACTTAAAACCTAGTTTTCCATATGGTCTCTTCAAAATTAATCTTATTGTGTTCTCTGGTGAAATTTGCAATTCATAGGAAGTTGACTACGTATTCTCTATAGATTCCAAAGGCAAACAGGTTCAGAATGCTTAATCTCCGTCCTAAGCGAAGAAAAATACACATTCTAATAAAGGGAATCATATCCCTTGAACTAACATGTTACAGAAGCTTTTGTTTTGGTTTTTTTCCAAGTAGATTTTGTAATTCCTTGTAAATGTTGTCTGTGGTACACATAATGCCGAAAGACATTACATATGTAATTAATACGTACGGTAAGATTTATTTCTGCATTAACAGTCTGTGGCTGTTGGTTCCCACTTTATCAGCTACAATCTGTGGACCACAGAGTTGGATTGTCATAAAAACTCTTTTGAATACACAGGTATAAAAAAAAATTGATAGTATTTCTTCTTGCATTTAATAAATTATTTTTCAACCTTTGTATTTCATCTAAAAGAAATTCCCATACTTGAAAAAATTCTCCATTTTGCAAATAAAAAACCACTGCTTTTCACTTCAACGTATTTGCAGAACAGAATTAATTCACAAATTGAAATGCATCATTTGCTAACACAGTATCTTTGCAGGGCCCTTAAGCAACATGCTCAGGAGACATATCATTGTACCTGTTCATGGCTCTGTAACACTGCTCATTAAGTTGGCAGAGACATGATATAGAGCATGTATTAACCATTTCTCAGTACTGAATGGAGAATGCCTCAACAAGGCTCTCAATGTGCATATGCTTACCACATAAGCAGAAATATGTTGAGAACAAAAAAAAATATCCTTTCAGTAAGGCACTCCATCAGTACTGGCAAGTTTGGGGTTGGCGTGGGGTTTTTGTGGTGCAAAAAGGCAGAGATAGCAGTAATTAAAATTTGTGTAAGGCCATATTAATAAGTTAAAAGATACAAGTGTAACATAGAAAACAAAAAAATCTTGGAACCTGGTAGTAGGAAAATACAGCACAACATGGCCAGAACTGAATGTAGTAGCAAGAAGTAAGATCACAGAAGCTGGGACACTTAAAAAGTGGAGGTCTTATTGTTACATGCTATTATCAGCAATTAGCAGGCTAGTAGAACTCACTAAACCGGTTGGATGACTTGCATGCTGGAGGTTACATTACCATCCATGGAACTGTTACTTAATATTTGCACTACAGTTAGTGTTTGGTTTTAATTTGATAAATGATGGAAACGATTAATATGTTGGTGAAACCAAATGTCTAGAGCAGAATCTAATTTTACCTTATTAATTATACTGTTCTAGTTCACTTACAGGGATGGAACTGAGCTTTCATTAGGGGACACAATGCACTTAGCAGCACATCAAAAGGAGATTAATAAATTAAGTTTATATGTCTGTGGTTGTTTTTTTTCTTCCATCTGAGGGTTCTACTGTCACCTCCTTATAGTTGTGTAGATTTCTCTTTCTTTCTTGTCCTATGTATAAGCCCTAGCCTACCGCTCCCATATACAAGTCACATTCAGTTCGACACAGCTTTGTGGTCAATCACAAGAACTGTTACAAGCAAATCTGAAGGTATTGCCCTTAAAACTTGCAGCCTCTGTTGCTCCTCTGAACTGTAATTTTGAGAACTGTACCTGGAGATATTTGATGGGAATGCAAAGAAAGACACGTAGGTCAGTGTAATTTCATGCATACTAAGAATACCTTCAGATTGCTGTAGTACAATAATAGACAGTACGCTTTCAATCTTAATTATTATGGTACATGCTAGAATTAAGTTCACTTGTTTCTCTGTAATGCTGACAAAACCATTTTGTAATTTCAGGAGTCCTAAGCTACTTAAAGGAGACCTTTACTCACACACCAAGTTATGATATGAGCCCAGCTATGCTGAACGTACTAGTGAAAATGATGCTTGCACAAGCTCAAGAGTGTGTTTTTGAGCAGATTGGTCTTCCTGGAATACGCAATGAGTTTTTCACGCTAGTAAAAATGACAGAGGAAGTTGCCAAGGTAAAATATGAGACTTAAAACTTTGTCTTTAAAGTAACTGTTTCCAATGCTGTGTTACTAGCTACACCCTCTAGTAATGTTAACAGAATTTATTCAACCTAAATGTTAACAACTGTTACTGAAAACCAAAAGTAACAAGGGACAGCTCAATAGCTACAGCAAGAATCACAACCTTTCAGAAGATCAAAATGTGAATAGCTGCAATTTAAATATCATTTTAGAACTGTATGACTTTTAAAATTATAATTCACAAAGTTTAATAGAAACATGCTGGAACACTTGAGCAGTGAACTTGCCAAAGGTTTTTTTACAAGCTGTTTATTGTATTGCTCTTTCAGACAGTACAAATGTTGTCCACAGAACAACATACAAAAGGACAGGGTTCTTGATGTAGTTCTCTGTTAAGTACTGAACATAACCTGTCTGTTATTTCCCAGCAGCTGCAGGTTATGTAAACCTAAAAAGCTTAAGTCCAAACGAACAACTAAATTGCATCTGGGGGAAGGACCCTGATGAGCAGAGTCAGACTGGTAGCTGCAGAGCTGTCTTGAGACTTGCCTGAAAAATGGAGAGGCAGGCTGTGCCACAGAAGGTAGTGTTCATACTTGATTGAGGTTGTTGACATCAAAAATTGGGTATGCCAACAAGATACGAATATGCTTTCTGAGCCATTTCAGAGTAGCAGATATGTAATTGGTTCCATACTAGATAAATGGGCAAAGCCTTTCCTAGCAACCCTGTAAAGCCACCCTGACTTATCTGTAGGATTTGATCTGCTGCACAGGAAAGATTTTTGGAATCTGTCTGGTGGAGTTGTTTGATCCATTAAAACAGCATTCACTGCTTGAAAAGCTAGTTTTACTTCCTCTGCATAAAGGATAGATAGACCTTTATATAGACCACACAAACTTAAGGCTAGATATGACTCCACAGTTTCAGAAGTGAAGCACAAACCTACTGTGTAAGTAATATGTTTCACCCTTTTTCTCAGCTGAATTAACCCAATGATATGTATTTCTAAATTAAAACCTGTTTTTTATATGGTGGTTTTATTGAACTCTGAAGCCATATAGATGGACTTACTTAGTCCATCTGTTATTGTACAAAATTGATTTACTTTTCTTGTAAGGGGAAAAATCGGAGATGGAATTTCAGATTTTCTCAAAACTTATATCTAACCCTTTCTAGCAATCTATTTCCCCACACCCCCCCTCCCCCGATGTGATGCACATGAAATTATCTTAAGGTTGAATATAATATCCCTTACTTGACTCCTAATAACTAATCTTAAATTCTAATACTTCAATTCTGTGCTTTATTTTAGGTGGGAGAGGTTTACATGCTGGTTAACACTGCGATGAATCAGGAACCAGTGAAGGAGAATATCCCCTATTCCTGGTCTAAACTGGCACAAATAAAGTCAGACCATTACAAAGCTCTTGCGCATTACTTCATTGCCACCATTCTGTGTGACCATGAATGTAAGAATCATACATTTTCTATATATTCATATAAATAACAATAATAAACACATAAACAGTTATAATTTGGTCTATGAATAAGACTAGGAGCCAGGAACTTTGGGATTTCAGTATATGCTAATTTGTGGCCACTTTCCCGCTCAGATATGAGGCCATGCTTTTTGTCCTTTACAGAAAAATGTGAAAGTTCAATAAACTTTTGCATAAACAAAAAAAAATGTTATGTGCTACTAAATTGTTCAATTCTTGTCAATATATTTTGGCATATAAGCATTACTTGCATACTGCACATGATAAAACTGATAAAAGTCTTAAAAACTTGAAATTCCCATCAATATGTAAGTGTAAAAATATTTGCCTGCGTTTGAAGAGAAGGTAGAAATAACTACACAACAATACACCTAAAGGAACAGGGCACCAAGATGTGTAATGCTAATGTTCTATATCAATTGTTATAGTGCAGTCTGGTGATGATGAAGATCAGCAAGGGAAAGCCTTGTCCCAGTTGTACGACTACATGCCTGAAGGACTGATGGTTCTCACCGTTTTAAAGGACAAAGTTCAGAGAAAACAATTAGGTAAATGCCAGTTTCACCCAGCTACTAAATAAAATTTGAAAGTTACTTTGTATTTCTTTTCTGTGGAGGATAACCAACAGTTTCTCATTTTTTTTTCAGGGAAAGCGCATTTACGCAAAGCCATTGTTTACCATGAAGAAGCTCTAAGAGTTTGTGGTCTGTGCAAAAAGCTTCGAAACATTGATGTTCTTCAGGAGGTTCTGACAGCTGCACATAAGCGCTCACTTCTTAAATATGCTCAGCAAGAGACAGAAGATGACTTTCTCAGTCTAATCCAGGCTCCGGACATCGTTTGTAAGTATACACAGCTAGAAATAAAGAGCATCTAACCAGACATGTATATGCTTTCATGGGGATGTGCCTTTATTATATATACACACATATATAACATGCATGCATATATAAATAATGCACAAGTTATATACTGTACATTTGAGTTCAGATTCCTTATGTGTTTCCTCAATCACAGATAATTTTGTTACAGCTGCTTTACACTGTTTTTGTCTGGCCACGTACTATTCTGAGGTAGATAACAGTGGTTATTATTTAAATTCAGCTTTTTTTTGTGACTATCTTGTGAGCTAGAAAAAATGGGGAAACTTCAAAAGTTAAAATCATACAGGGAAAAACTAATAGCTGTTTCTTGTAGCGCAACTCTTATACTGGTCTAAATTGTTAACTCAATTTGACTGCTATTGGCTCTTTCTACCCTATTCGAGCTCATCCAATGAGCTCTGCTTTTAAATATTTCTCAGAGAAAAATAAAGAGGAGAATAGCATAGTTTTGCTTGGATGGATTGCTTTAAGTTTTCTGTATTTATACTATGGGCTCTGAAGATATTTTTAAGGCAGTTCATGTATTTGTCTTAAAAATTTCAACAAAAGTGAGTTTTTCTACAGCCTGGTAGGAATTTAGAAGAAATTTCTACCTAGCTTGGAGTGCAAGAAAAATAAATTTGTATGTCTTTTAACTAATATTTGAGAGAAAAATTACTTTTTTTTTTCTGTTTCAGCTAAAATGGAGCATAAAATAGAAACAATTGCCCCTCAGTTTTCCAAGGTGAAAGTTAAAGACTTGTTTCACAGGCTGGTATGTATCATGTTAATGTCAACCAACCTCTGTCATTTTGCTAGCAAGTATAAATTCAGTCGAACTTGAGGGAAGGGACACAAATATTTTAGCCTGAAAAAATCATCCTGTAGTAACTTTTTTTTTCCCCCAGAAGTTATTGGAGAGATCATTCCTAGCTTCAGAGGTAAAAGTCAGCTTGAGACTAGCCAAAAATAAAGGTGCGATTTGTATATGGCTGTACACAGCATTCATTCTTGATAACCTTCATAAAAGTCCTATGAAGTTTCCATGGATAATTGCATACAACTTAAAGGGAGGGAGAAACATGCAGTACTTGGAGGATGGGCATGCTGAATGTGTAATGTTGCATGGTATAAAGCCAGTCTTTCAGGTGGCTCTGTGTGTATCGGTGGGCAAAGGGAACTGGGAGTTGCGGTTAGGATCAGCATATGCAATGTTTCATGAATCAATTTATCTTCTCCAAAATGGAGCAATATAGGACCTTATGGCCTGCTGCAGCCAAAAGATTCTGCACACCTTAACAGAGATCTCAGAACAACTTGGCAATAGCTCTCATCCTATTCTCTTTGAAGTATCACCTGAACAGTCACGAAGTAGGGCTGAACACTTCAGGGGACATCTTAAACTTCTGGGATAAATCTCACTGTTCCATTTCAATGGAAATAACTGGACGTTAACCTGCATAAATCCTACATGAGATGAGTTTAAAGCATTATAACTTAAAAAAATAGAAATGTTTACTTATGAATGACAGTAAACCATAATGTGCCTGCTGCTATGTTACCTGCAGGGCCCACTGACAGTCTTCTCAGCCAAGCAGAGATGGACAGCTCCACGTACCATTCGTATCTACCATAAAGCAGGAGAGCTAGGATTCAGTCTTAAAGGAGGTTCGCCAGTACAGATTTATTGTCTCGATCCAGTTTGTTCTGCAGCAGTAAGTACATTGGTGCAATATTAACAATTTATTGCCAGACTCTAGCATTACAATCATTTAAATGTAACTTTCGCTTGTTCATACTGGCGTATTACTGAGTTCTACCCTACATCAGTATAGTCAGTTCATATAATCTGAACACATGTTCAGTGCTATATGCATATTAGAAGTCAGACTACCCATATCCCTGATAGCACATTAAACTAGAGTTGATTTCTTCCTCTGTTCACCCTTAATAGATAAAAAGTCCCAAAAGAATAATAGCAAATGTCATTCCCGAACTAATTTGGGAAGTTAGAAGAGATAAAGGCTTTAGACAGTAGCAACAACAATAAGGGTGAGGATCAGAAAGGGAAGGCAAGGTAGCATGTGCCCAAGGAAAAAAGAGGAAAGAACATATTACTAGCTTCTAATATGGTGTTCTTTTGGTGGGGGCACAAAGGGATAAAGCAGCATGCAGTGATGAGCACAGCTTAGTTATAGGAAAGGCAGAAGCAACCACAGAAGTACAAATAAAAATACTGAAGAAATAGAATTAAAACACAGAGAAAATATGTCATGGGGGATGATAGGGTAGCAAAAACCAGGTTTCATTTACTTCAGGAGAAAAGTGAAAAGGACGTAAAAAGAGCCAACATTTGAGTATGCTAGAATCACATCTATCAATGGTAACTCAGATAGAAACATGCAACTTTTCTCAAATACACAAATTACCTATGTTATGTATACTTTTTTGTTCCACGTGTCTGGATGGACAAAGGTTCTATAGCATCTAAGAGGGAAATGCCTTTAGGGCAGATACTGTATGATAACAAAAATGTTTTATGCATCTTTAATTCCAGAGAATAACCTGTGCAAAATTTTTTGACAGTCGTTGGGCCTAAAAGAAGGTGACTACATTGTTTCAGTTGGCGGTGCAGATTGCAAGTGGCTTGGAGTGAATGAGGTGCTGGAAAAATTCAAAAGCATGGGAGAGCAGCCCATTGAGATTGAGGTTATCAGTTGCCAGGATACAGCGACATCTATGGTATGTAATGAGACAAATGTGTTTTGCAGATTGGATATGTGAGAGTTTTGTTGCTTTCCTGGCTTCAGTCCCCAAAGAGAGTTTACTTTCATGTAGTCAGATATCCCACTCCGCTGGTGAATATATAAAGCATTCAAGTTATGTGTTCAATTTTAAGCAGTCTGTTTAAATCAGCATGACTTAGCAAGCTGAACTACAGTCTGTGTGCATAAGAATGGTTGGGTGGTGGGTTTTTTGTAGCGGAGCTACTTAAATTAATTGCATTATAAATTCCAGTGTGTATTTTATTTTCCCCTCACTTGTCACAGAGGATGAAAATGTTACCCTGTTCAGCACTAAAAAAGCCACAATGAAACAATAATGGAACGAAATAGAACATCCAAGACCATATGCTTATTTTCTATGCACTGTTAACATAAGTCATCTGTGACTTTTGTATTAAGATCACGGATTAATCTATGTATTCTTCATTTTAGTAGACTGTCTAGTCAGCTACTAAGCTGCTGTAGAAGCTTTAGACTAAGGCAAAATGCTCACAAGATTAAAAAATGTTAAGCTCTAAAACACTTACTTATAGTATGAGAGAACCTGCAGTTCCGCTAAATCCACTGCTTCATGCTTCTAACATTCCCTGGCAAGCTTAGGCGCTGAAGATTTGTTGCCTTAGAAGTGATGAAGGTGCTTTTACTGCTGTTGGGTTTTCTTGTTTTGTTTAAGAAGTTGGTTTTTCCTTACCGAATATAAGGAATTGCACACCTGCCATTTCCAAGCTGCTACTGGAAACAAAAGGCTATAACATAATCAAATTGCTTCAGGGCACAGCTAAAACTAGACAGAGAAGGCTGTGCCTCTCAGGTGTCCCACAAGAATGTCCTACAGTAGCTCTTGTTGTCATAGTTGCAATCCGTATGGAACCTGGCCAAAGACAGCAAAAAGACTCCCCTTCAGAGATCTGTGTAAGAACTACATACTTAAGCTAGTGTATATATTGTATAGTTATATTAGAAGCCAGTAAATGCTAACTACAACACAACCCATTGAAAAGATTCACAAGTCCCTTTACGCTTTGCATAGTACACGCTTGAGTCTAGACGGGCAAAATACCAGAATCACAGCACTCTGAAAGGCCTTGTGTTCAGTTAGTATGACATTAGCGCAGAAAACTTGCTGTAGTTTGCCTTGGAAAACTATTTGCGCAGTCACCTTTTGTTATCTTCAAAATTTTGACCCATTTTGGGTGACTGATTCTTATAATGCTTCTCCTTTTCCTACAGCACAGTAAGAGTGCAACTTACTCTGTGGGAATGCAGAAGACATACTCCTTAATCTGTTTGGCCATGGAAGAGGGTAAGACTGATCACACCAAGAAAGCCCCACTGAAACTGCCTTTTCTAAGTTGGGGAACTAAAAATAGACAGAAAGCTGCAAGCACCCTCTGCCTTCCTGCAGCTGTGGCTGGAAGTTCTCAGATTAAGAAGAAGCTTTCTCCCTTCACACTTCTGAGTACGGAAAGTTCATTGTACTGAATCTTTCAGAAGGATCTGTTAACATGACATTTTTCTTTAAAATGTGTATAAAAATATTGATCAATTTTATCTTTATATATACATGTGTATAAATTCAGACAAATGCCCTTGTCTTCATTTACTGTGTAGTGAACCACTATGAAGGTCAGAGGCTGGCAAAAACTCTAAAACTTAAGTATTTGAAGGTTAGAATGAAGTAGTTTGGGAGGTATGCAATAGCAGGATGTAGATGATAAAATTGCTTACATGAGGACAGGAGTCCTTTGGAATTTCAAAATACAGCATCCTAATTTTTTTTATAGCTATGATAGATGGGAGTTATTTATTACAAACTTGATGCTGCATGCAAAACAATAGGGGTCACATTAAAAGATGATTTTGCTGTAAAAGTTTAGAGTCAATAATAAATCATTTAACACTATTTTAAAGAATTATCTTAAACCACAGGCAAGAGAAGAGTGTTATTCAGAGAAACTAGCCTTGTGCCAAGGGGCAGTGTCACGTAGTTGTGTTTTTTATACATAGACATTCTCTTTCTGAGAGTACTAGATGTATTCTACTGAACAGTTAATTTAATTCTGGAAGAGAATTAAAAGGCTTAAAGTCAGATCTTTTGAACTACAGAAACCTGACATATTCCAGTATAATGATCCAAGAGTACATAAGTTGAGGTGATGCTTTAAAATATGAGAAATGCTTGTGAGTAAGTGGCAGAATATTGAATTACTGTCACTGCCAGTTAAAAAAACCAAATAGATATAAAATCCTCTTCCTCACCTTGGAACAATTCATGACCAAGTATTGGCTATATATATTAACAGAAACATAACTGTGAGCGTTTGAGATTCTTCTATTTTCTGAAACTGAAATTAATTGAAAATTGCTAACACTGTAGTGTTAGTTAACATTGCCATCTACAGAGTAGATATGTGCTGTTTGATACTCAAAACTTTAAAGTTTACAGACAGATGCAAACTTTCCCCTTAAGTTGTCTTTTAGTTTCTTATGTAATAGGTGTAAATATGTTGATGACATTTATTTAAAAATAAATAAAAAATTTCTTAAGAGTTTATATTGTATAACTTAGGAACTTATAAATTATAGTCTGAAATTTGCTTCCTTATAAAGAATGTTACATATTTCTAGAGTTTGCCTATAAAGGTTACCTAAAAAAGTTGTAAATTACTTGTGACTTGCCTATCCTTAGTAGTTGTTTTTTATGTGTATTTGTTTTGCACTTCCTTTTACACACACAAGCAGCAACAGTGATACACTGCCCTACACTATTCCATACCGAAGATACTTACTTTGCTGAAGATCTCATTAGCTGGATAGTAATTTCAGCCATACATGGAAAGTCACGTGCATCACCTGTCCAGTTCTTCATTTCTCTTAGCCCACTATGATAGCCTTCCTACAAATATCTTCCCCCTTAGCTGCGTGATTAACTAACTGCCTTTTCTTTCCCATCATCACACTCACTAGTCCTTGGGGAAAGCTTGGGCTGGGGGTCTTTTTTATTTAACCACCCCATGCCCCCAGGTCAAAACTGGGGCTGCCTAAGTGCTATACAAATAAACAGTATTTTCAGTCAGCTAACTAAAGATTCATTCTACACTGAGTGGTAGCCAACAGCTAAATTAAGGCAAATATTAATTTCACAGCAACTTATGTTGTTGCTCACACCACAGAAATATTTGAAACAAGTTTCTGTCCACAGGGATGTATAGGGCTACTATAAAGCTCTAAAAATAAAGGTTTGTGATCGATTAGTGGTTCAGCCTGTAACTCCATTAGTACTAACTGTTACTGCTTTAATTGAACTTTATTTAATGCACTGAGCAGATAGCTATTTGAAGTAGTAAAAAGGTGTTTGCCTTGCAACATCAATAACCACATACCTTTAGATGTGAAATCCAGTCTCCATAGCAAAGTGACAAAGTCAGAGAGGGAATAAGATTGAAACAGATTTAGATGTGGTATATTGTTTTGTAGTTCTGGAAATCTTGATGTTTATTATTCAGTAAATTAAATATTCATACCCAAATTATGAGTGTAAGGAATCAGGACATGGTTTAGCATGCAGGGTGGTGTTGGGTTGACAATTGGACTTGATGATCTTAGATGCCTCTTCCACCCTTTATGATTCTATAAATATAAATAACAGGTCTATCTGCTATCCACACTAACTGGTAGATGAGATTGGTTACAAAGGTGCCAAGGTTCTGTTGCTCACTTCTCTTCAGTTTACTGAAGGGAGTTGAAAATCCTGCTCAGCTGCCTTCCTGCTGTGACCCAAAACCCAAGTAGTATGAAAGAAACTTTTCACATACCTCCTTAATGAGTACATAAGACAAAATTAAATTTTACTCTTACTGAACAGAGTAAGAAAATAATTTAAAATAAAACCCAAGATGTCAGGAAAACCAATCCTCCTCTTTACAAATAACTTTTGAGAAGATTAATACTGGAAGACCAGGATGAATTTTGATCAAAGCTTCCCATATTACTTTCTTCGTAGTGTATATTACAGTATAATTGATATTATAATTAATATATTATTATTGATAATGTCAAAATATATTGTAATTTATTATTACTCTCCTAACCTATATTCAAACGCGCAACATGAATTAACCAAGACTTTGGATATCAGACACATGGGAATAAATTTGATAACACCCTGTGAACTGAAAAAGGAACCAGAGAAATTAATTATTGTAACGTCAAAGATGTATTCCAGTAGGACTTTCCAAAGGAACTCTAAAAAATTATAAATCAGAGTTACTCCTATAAAGCATTGTATGCTAACTTTTTTAAAGCCCTGTAACTAACATTTCCAGTCATCAAGAAGATAATACCACCCACGCATTAACAAGGTGTTTATTTCCAGAAGACATAAGTAAGCAAGCAAATGGCTTTTCCATTTTATTCCTGTGGATGCTGAAAAAGACAGCTTTCTCTCAGTTGTTTGTACAAGATAGATGCAAAACACTTTACGGTCCTCTTACCAAGGCAATTTTCACAGCTCAATCTACAGCTGTAAAAAAGCAGCAGCAGAGTAATATCTAGTCAATTAGTCAACACCCTTCAGATGTTACCAGGATTATAGAAATTACCATAATATGCGATTATTAAAACCAAAATTTTATAATTATTGGAAAGAAAGAAACAAACAGAAGTCTTTGTTTTCCAAAACAGCGCTACCGATGCATGTCAGGAACATAAAAATGCGTAAATTTGTTGTGCTACCGTTTGTCCAACTACTAGCTCAAGCTCTTTGACAGATGCATTACAAAGCTGGTGGATACTTCCAAACTGTTGCAGTAAAAGCAGAGCTTTTGTTTTCCCAACTCCTGGAATTTGTTGCACTGTTCGAAACATGGATGGCTCTGCCAGCTGAGAACACTGTTTACGAAGAAAGGGGTTACTGTTGTGATCCTTACTTTGTTCACGGACCTGAAGCAAAACAAAACCGTGACACTGAGTGCCCTCTGCCGGAGCTCTGCTTTTGATTTTTAAAATAGTTTCTTCCGTCTCAAAATATTTCAGTGCAATCACTAGGAAGTTTCAAAAACAAGCTCCCTCCTCAAGCGTGCGCCCTTATTAATGGTTTTGATGCAGATCCACAGTCTCACTAGGAAACCAACAGTTTCTTAATACCAACCATGAATCAAAACAGTGATTTTTGTCATCTTTATGATGCAATTGGAGAAAGGATAAAGGAAAAGAGAAGCAATGTCCCAGCCCAACACAAAGAAAACCTCAAGTCAGTTTTGACAGAGAACTTACATGAGGATTGCCTAATGCTATCCAGCAGCACCTCAGTGCAAGATCACTTCAAAAAAATCCAGTATCATATTCTTCAACTTTTTTTCTTTGTTCCCAAACATGCCCTCTTTCCACTGACCTACACTGCCATATTACTGTTGCAGGGTATTTATTCCTTATGTTCAAACAACAAAATATGTTGCATTCCTTTAAGAACCCAGGTATTCTTTCTGAACTGAGTGGTGGTTGTGGGAAACAGGTAATTCTCCTCATGTCCCATATTTTAATAAATCTTTGTCCACTAACATAGAAACTTACTAGCTGAGTGATAAGTTGAGAAGCTTCTCCTTGATTTGCCACAGGAAGCAACACCATTCCAAGTTCTAGCACAACAAGCTTTTGTACTGCTAAGAAGTATTGATCACTTATTTGGGTTTTCTCTACAATTACAATTCCCCCAAGACTGCTGGCCTGTATTGAAAGGAAGAAAGAAAAGACTGTGTTAATGACAAGCTGATGCAATGCAACACAGAGAAAACTTCTGTCAAGTGTGAGATGCCTGAAAGCAAATCAGAGGAAGAATAGACGTTGCAGCAACAGTTACTGAAGCTTAATACAGCATTATTACACATAATTTTTCAGTCTTCAGGTGGAAATTATCACAAAAGTTTAGCTCCACTAGAATTTAAAAATAACACAAGAAGAATGTTTTCAGAAGCATGGAATAAACAAATACCAACTGAAAACTTTTCTCTTTATGTAGTACTTACATTTCTAAACCGAACCAATCTTCGTTTGAATTCATCCCCTGCAACCAAATCTGCTTCAGAAATATATAAAATGCAAGTTCTGTTTGAAAGATGAAAATCCACAAGTCCCAAGCCATCTTCAAAGATTAGTCTAATTTTCCCTTAAAGTGAGATTGTCAAAAGAAAAGAATACAGTAGTTAAAAAATATACTAATAATTACTTCACAGCACAACCTTCCTAATGTGTCAATAATCCTAGTGACTTAACAACAAAACTCCATATTCTTTAAAAGCTGTTCTTCTCTTTAAGCAAAACTAGTATAAGCAGTCCACAGTACTGTGTGATGTCTTTAGTAATGCCAATTACTAGCACTTCCAAACTACAGGTTTATATAGCTTCTCAGTAAACTCTGGACTTCAACAAAAACATCTCATGGTATTCTGAAAGGATCATCTTAATTTAGTTTTCTGTGCCATCAGATGATACCACAGTCCCAGTATCCATGTAAATTCAAGAGATTTCAGTGGAGATGCATATTCACAATAGCCCCACTGCTGTGATTCCCAAGAAGCAGATACTTCTGCTTCTGCTCTACAGTGCTCAGCAACTATGCAAATATAATAAAACCGACTACATAGATACATGATAGACAAACAGGAATTTTCAGCCTGTTAACACAGGCTGTACTAGAAATATGGGACCAGTCAGGCACAGAGTAAAGCATATTCCAGACAGTTTAACAATACTAGATGACAAAGGGGAACACTTTGCCTGAATTGTTTTTCTTCTTCCAATCTGTTTGTCCTTACCTTGTAGCCCTTGGGTTATCTCTGACCCTCTCCACTTCTCATTTCCAATCACATGTCCGTAAGGGACAACTATAGATCCTGTCGTCACAGGAAAGTTTGCTTTCGTTGTCATCAGACCTCCTTTAAATCTTTACACCCTAGAAAGGAATGTGGAAGAGATATTAACACATTTTATAAACCTGTTCCAAACTTAATTTTATAATTAAAATTTGTAAGATGCAATACTTTTCCAGAGCCACAAGCTCCTCCCCAAAGCTACCTTGCAGTTATGGTTAACATATCAAAATCGGTAAGCAACTCTGTTTACTTGAATACAGGCTGTCAGCTTGCAAATTCCACTCCCAACTTTGCCAGCCAATCTGAACAACACCCAAGGTAAGACATACAGGTGGTAAAAAAACCACACCGCCTTTTCTATGCCTTTATCCTCCCTTGCTGGAACAAAGTCTGCTTCGATTACAAAGCTGACTCCAGAGGTATCTCCAGCCCTCAGACGACATAAGTCTCCAGACAGATTGTTAGCAGGTAGTTGCAGCAAGAGATTATTTTCAGGTTTGCCAGCTTTACGCGGTATTCTGACTTTAGGGGGAAATGGGAGTCTTTAAGGCTAAGGCACGATTTAAGGAGAAGAGCCAAAGACGAGCCGGTACCGCCGCAAACACCACCACCTCGAGCCACACCCTGCAGCCCGGCCCAGCGCAAGTCCTCACCAGGGCC